AGAGAGAGAGAGCGAGCAGAGAGAGCTGTCTGTTCATTCCACTAGTTGTTTGAGGGGGGTTGGCATTTATTTTTTTAGATATGTATATAGTCTATATATTAATCCAGATGTTTATCTGGCAGTCTTTTCTCCCATTCTGTAGGCTGTTTCATTACTCAGCTAACTCTTTTCTTTGTTGTGAAAGAAGCTTTTCAATTTCATGCAATCTCAGTTAATTCTTGGTTTTGTTTTCCAAGCTATTGGGAGCCCTTTCCAAAGGTCTTTGCCTGCATCTACACCCCTTGAAGTGCTTTTCCCTGGTAGCTTCACCGTTCCAGGTCCTCTGTTAAGGTCTTTAGCCTTTGAATTGATTTTTATACAGGGTGTGGACCAGGGTGTGGATATTGATTTTTTCCAGAACCATTTGCTAAAGATGTTGTCTTTTCTCCAATGTATTTTCTCATCTCTGTCACAAATCAGGTGGCTGTAGCTGCATGGATTTATGTCTGGGTCAATTATTCTATTCCATTGACCAACACACGTGTTTTGTGTCTGCCATGATGGTTTTCTTTCTATAGCTCTGGATGATCAGTCTATTGGTGCAAGAAGGATGTGAAAGTCATAGATTATTATTGTGTTGAGACCAGTCTGTGTCTTTACAGCCAGTATTGCTTGTTTTATGATATCAGGTTAACTGATGTTGGGTACATTTATGTTTAGAATTGTAGTATCCTCTTGATGGATTTTTTTCTTCCTCTGAATAATTATGGTTTGAAGTCTAATTAGCTAGATTTTTAGTATGGCTGTACTGGCTTGTTTTCTACTTCAATTTGCTTAAAATGTCAGTTCCAAGTCTTTTACCCTAAAACTACGCTTATCTGTGATATCAAGGTGTGTTTCTTGCAGACTGCAACTAGATGGGTTGCGTTTTTTAAATTCAATCTGCTAGTTTTTGTCTTTTGCCTGGAAAATTGAGGCCATTAACACTTGGAGTCCTAATGAAAGGCATGTACTAATTCCTGGCATTTTGATGCTTCATTTGGTATTCTGCTGATCTTCACTTGACTATTTGCCAAAGTCATAATTGTCCCATAAAGTCATAATCCATTAGAACTAAAACCCAGATTCCAAGTGTGCATACATTATTCTTTTCTCATGCTTTTTGGTGACTGATGATAATCAACCTAACTATAAACATTGTATGTTTGGGAACAATTGTCATAAACTATTTTATCAGAAGGTCTAGGCTGAGGTTGGGAGTGACGATGCATTGCTTTGAAGTGTTACTCCCATAATGCAGAATGTTCAGTGTGATGATGTTGACCAGATGTGTATTAACTGACACAACAAACAGCTTTCACTCAAGTCCTCATTTCTATGATTGTGGTGTTAACTCATCACAGGAAGTTGTAATGTATGGTTTGTGCTGCAATTATAATATTCATGCAGAAGAGGGTATAAACATGTATGCAGTTTCGTGAATAACACATATGCTCCTCCTGGGTTAACAGTGAGGAGGTGACCCTGACTCTAGACCCCTGTGTGATCTCACAGGCCAGTCTTTTCCCTTTCCCATTCATTCACCTCCCATTCACAAGGAAGCTGCTGTTCTGATTTCCACGTTACATATCCCCTGCTTCCTCCCTTTGGCCGTGAGATGTAGAGGTAAAAGCAACACGTCCTTTGATTTTTGAAGCAGGGAGAAGCAGCATACAGCTGAGAGAGCTCAGAAATGTCACTATGCAGAGAATTGTTTCAGCTTTTTCTGGGAGTCTCTGAGGGTGGAGAGGGAGAAAGACAAGGTAAGTGCAGACCTAGGGAGCTAAGAACTCATACTTGAGGTGGCTGTTTCGGCTGTACTAGGGACTGCAAGGTATGTGGCTAGAGAGGCACCATGGCTGGCCTCTTCCATTCATCACACTAGAAGAGACTAAAGAACATTTGAGTATCCTCAGGGAATGCAGGTGGGAGATAAGCAGGACTGTGCATGTGATGGAGTGAGTCAAGTGAGATAAGAGTCTGCCTGTCTTCCTACGGTCTCTGTTTTATCCGTGTTTCACTAATCAGTACCTTTCCCATTGGCTCTTGCTAAGGTCTGTACCCAGTTGCAGCGAGCTGTCATCAGGCACGCTTTGAAGTTCCTTCTCAGGAAGATACTCATTTTTTAATGTTTTAAATTTTATTTATTTTTATTTTATGTGTGTGTTTGCCTGTGTGTATGTATGTTCCCCATGTGCATGCCTGGTGCCTACAGGGGACAGAAGAGGGCCTCAGATCACTTGGAACTGTGAACCACCATGTAGGTACTGAAGATCAATCTTGAGTCCTCTCGAAGAGCAGCAAGTGCTCTTTACCCTGAGCCATCTCTCCAACCCCGATCTCCTCCTCCTCCTCCTCCCACATTATGGATTTTTGTTTACAGTGTGATAACTGGACAAGCTTAGCTGCCATTCTTTGGGAGGTGGAAATGTATTTGTTAGACTGGCTTCTGGCTGTGAAGACGGAACATACAAACTAACACACATTTCTCTCTCACACAGACATCTGGCTAGGCACCCAGGATCTGTGTGTTGTGTGTGGATCATGCCTTCCATCTCCATTGTGAAATCACCCCCAGTGTGGCTTGCTCCAGGGCCAAAGGAGAGCAGAGGGGGACGCCTCCTATGTGGTTCCCAGGAGGTGCATATACGACTAATTCCTAATCTGCTTACTAGAATCAACCCTACAAAGGATGATGGGAAACAGTACTGTACCCAATCAATACCCAGGGCACCTATTTCAAGGGACAGAGAAAGAATGAAGACGGGAAACAATGGCAGCATCCACCAGCGGCGCATCGCTTGCTGTCCCGTGCACTGAAGACACACTTTCTTCTCCTAATGCCTGTTCTAGAAGCTGAAGGAAGAAGGTTATTTTTCATTTGAGAACTCTGTTCTAGTAAGGATAAGGTCCTTGGAATGCTTGGAATAAGATTTTTTTTTTGTCATTGTTTTACTTTTTGTTTCTTAAGGAGGAAAAACCAGGGGGCTGTAGCTTCAGAGGGCTCACTCATTGTTGCTTGGCGCTGGAACAGAATACCATGGAAGTACAAGTGTGTGGCAGAAACACTCTTCACTTCTCGACAGACAGGATGGAGAAAAAAGTGGTATTTTAAAAATTATGTGGATGTGTGTTGGTGTGGGTATTGGCACGTGAGTGCAGTACCCACAGAGGCCAGCAGATGGTGTCAGATCCTCTGGAGCTAGAGTAACAGTGAGCAACCTGACATGGGTGATCCGAACAAAACTCAGGTCCTTAGCAGGAGCAGTACACACTTTTAACTACCGAGCCATCTCTCCAGCCCCAGGATTTTTTTTTTTTAAAAAAACAACATTTTAATTTCCTTCTTTGAGAGTATAATGAACAAACATGGTCACACTGTAGGTAAACACAGTAAAGATGTAGGACAGAATACTCTGAAAGCTGGTTTGGTCACCCAGTCATGACCTCTAGCAATCTGTACAAACATGCAAGATATAAAGGAGAAATGGCAAGTTCCTCTTTTAAAGCAGTTTTAAGAAATTAGTTTTAAGAAAGTAGGATCTTGGAATTTTTGGTTCTTTTCTTTCCTCCTCTGATGCAAACTCGTGTTGTGGTGGTGAGGAGGGTGGTGGAGTTTGCATAGCATCTGCCCGTCACGTGGGGTGGGGAATCTTCATATTTGGGGACCACATTCAGATTCTGAGATGGGAAGTGGAGGGTGAAGAGCTCACAGTGACCTTCTGGTTTTGAAGTTTAATTTTGTCTGTTTTCCCAGCTATTCGCCCTCACGGATCTTCTGCTTACTGACGTCAGTATCCTCCTCATCTTCAGAGCCCTCTTTGCCTATGGCTTTCCCAGCCTCCTCTTCTCCACCACCACCCTCTTCATCACAGCGGGCAGCTTTGATAGTCTTCTCAGATTTTGTTTGGCTTTTAGGATGCTCTTTTGCTGATTGGGTGCATTTGTGTGCCCAGGCACCACATTCCACAGGATGAGCTTGCCTAGCGAATGTAAGCAATGGGATTTTAAGAGAACACATGCCCCCCTACTACAGGAGTCTTGAGTAGTGGAGTCTTGTTCTAGTGGAGAGAGAGGGCATCCCTGTGTCCAACCTTCAGTAAAATCCCTGTCTCGGAGTCTTACATGAGTTCCTCTGGCAGAGGCAGGCCTGCACCTAAGTGGCCTCTCACCAGAGGGGAATGTAAGAAGAAACACTGGGTTTCCCTAGAGTCCACCTAGAACATCTTCCTGCCCATGATTCTGGGGTGTATCTCCTTGATGCTATAGGTTATCCAGACTGCAAATACATGCTGAGTCGTATAGGTCCTTCAGGAGGACCCCCAAATGTGCAGGTGCTCATGGCACCCTGGCATAGACCAACTCAAGACTCAGCTGTCTGGATCCATCTCCTGGCCTTCATATGGCCTTTGAGGCTGTTTCTATTTTCTTGATAGTATATATATTGGGGATTTTTAAATATATGAGTCATATGTTGTCTGGTTTGAGGTATTTTTATGGGATGATTAATCTGAAGTTTATCTTACCATATCATTGGATAACTAACTTGAAAAAAAAAGTTTTCAGAGCTGGGATGGTGGTACACATCTGTGATCCTAGCACTCAGGAGGCTGAGGCAGGACAATCATGAATTCAAGTTCAGCCTGGGCTACACAGCAAGTCTCCATCTAAACAGCCCAAAAGTAAATAAATGAGGTTTCTGAAATGATTGTATCTTCATGTTATGCTGTCTGTGTTTTGATTTTGCTCAACAGTAAAAATAAAAGCCCATTCATCCAACTACCAAACATCCATCTTCTTAAATCGGAATTTGGGGGACAGAGTCTCTACTCCCTGCACCCTGCACGTCCAGTCAGTTGTTTTCAGGTTGTATGATTCTAGACCTGGGTAGGAGGTTGGAGCTGTATGGGGTGCATCGTAGGCTTACTGTCCTCACACTTCCCTGTCTCCCAGCCAACCAGTAGAGTGACAAAGCAAGAATCTGCTGGCAATGACTCGAGACTTTATTATCAAGCCACTGCCTGGGCAGGAGCACGGGGTGGTGAAGGTAAAGGAGAAAGAGCAAGTGCTGCTGTGAGCAGCTGTGATGCTGGGCAGAGCCAGGCAACGGTCATGCCCTGGCAGTGGGCTAGGGTCTATTTGCTCCTGTCCGACTCTTCTTTCAGGCTTCGGAAGGAGGGACCCCCAGGGGAAGAGAGAAGCAGGGCTAGATGACAATTTCACCCAGCAGTTTCTTCTCGTCTGTTTCCTAAGGAAAAGGCCAGGGGAGACGTTAGTGACGGGGAGAGAAGGCTCCTGTGCTCTAGGCTAGCTAGTTCTGGAGCCAGTCAGAGCCAATCTCAGCTGCATAGGACCCACGACAAAAGCTCCACAAGCCTGGATAGATGTGGCTTCGTGGGGTCTTTGGATAGGGACATTGGTTGGAAACAGGGACCTTGTAGGATGGGATAGAAAGGCATGATTCTTCCTGGGACCCACATAATGAGTCCCCTTCTTCCCTAAGCATTGATGTCTCATCTGAACATGCCCTGCCCCAAACACATTGACACAGGGACTCACCGCCTTTGTGAAGAATCTTTTCCAGAAGTAAACACATACAGGGGTGAGAGAAGCCAGGAGCAGCAGTGCCCAGACACCGAAGAGCATTGCCTGGAGACTTATGAGCAGGGGCTGGGGACACGGGGCAAAAGACAAGGGTGCTGGAGTGACGCCCACGTTCCTACCCCTTTCATCCTCTCTCCTGACAAGGGCCACCTTCTAACCCTCACCTCCAAGTCTACAGCTTCTGGACTACAGATGGATCATGGGTCCAGGGCATAGAATTCACCAGAAATCTTTTCCACTTTGTTCAGTACCTAAGCTGTGATGTGAGTGACAGCCTCAGGGAGGTCACGCATTTACCATGTTGGTAACCCTGGCCATATTTGCAATCCTGGGCCACTGATTGCTTGTGGCTGGCAGCATTTCTTTCCTAACAGTTTGTGACATCCGCAGCAGTGTAGTGGGAACAGTTTCTGCTTTGCTCAGTCCCGCCTCTTTAGGGACAATCCTCAAGACTAGAGGGATGGGTACCTTCTCCTGCCTGTCTTAGTCTCCCTGACACTATCTGCAGCTGCCCTTCTCCATGGCCACTTACCTTTAGCATGCTTGTGTAGAACATGCACAGGGCTATCCTGTCAGCTTCTTCGGGTCCTGGGGTGCTGGGGGGCTTGGTGGGCCAGTGATTTGAAGAGTCGCCTAGACAGTCATCATCTCTGATATAGTATCGGTAAACATTGAACTCAGGAGCTGCAATAACGATGGCAGCCACAGCTGTGCCGAAACTGGTCAGCACAAGAAGGATCCTCAACAGGGCCTAGGGAGAGGAGGAGTTAGAGGGAGACTTGAAGATTCAGCTTTACCCAGCCTGTGTGTGATGGGGCAGGAGCCTGGTGTAGCCTCCAGGCAGAGGGTGGGTCTTGCTTGGTCCTAAACTCACCCAGCAGGTACCACCCCGTTTCTTGTGAAGGAAGGCAACGGCTCCAGCCAGCATCGCCTGGGTAGACATTGAACCAGAAGAGTCAGCATAGGAATACAAATGCCCGTTAATCCTCTGCCTCGTTTCCCCTGTGACTCTCATCCGTAGTGCCAGCCACATGGCCTACACCATTCTGTCTGCATCCCAGGTGTTCTGCTACGTTTTATCGTCTCTGGTGGACTAACTGTGTAGGGTGATGAGCCTGGCACTCGTCAGTGAGGGTGTAGAACACTGTTTTAGTGACACCTAAATGCACATGGTTAAGCCAAATGTGAGCCTTCTTGTCTGTCCCTACAGCTTTCCTTTAAAATCACACTAGATTCTTCATGAACATTCCAGGGACCAGGAATCTTGCGGATCAAAGTCCCAAGTTGTTGGAAAAGCTGCCGATGCAGGATGTGACTTTAGGCAGCCTCGGTCCTGTCTTAGCAGCTATGGGATCCATCTAACGAGGACAGAACAGGAAGTCTGGTGCAGCCCTGTGGACACATGGGTCCTGGCCCTCCCTATTTGACTATTCTACAATGAATCCGCATGTTCCTGCCTTTGGATGGTTTAGCACACTTACTTTAATGTCTCCTCTCAATGAATACATGTGTTTTTGCTGTTCTGAGAGTGTGAGTCTGTCAGAAAGGTCTCCGTACCCACCATGCTCAGCCCAACCAGCTGACATTAGAGATAACAGCACATCGGAATACATCCCTGGATCCCTAAATGATGCGCAAAAGGAAGCAGGAGGTGCTTCCTGCCTGACATTTTCCACTTCCCCTGTCTTGAGGCAGACATTGGAGGTGGGTGCCCTTAGAGCCTTGACTGATGACTGCCATTGATGACGAGGAGCACCCGCCAGCCTGGTGGGGGGAGCGTGGGGCAAGAGACAGAGCTGACCTGCAACTGTGCAGGCAAACGTTCCCTCACTCCCGTCATCTACACAAGCACCAAACCAGACTCCATCATTCAGGTCTGTCTGGCTACACACGCTCTGATGCCACATCAATGGTGGTGCTGTAAAGGAGGCAAAGAGAGCATCATCCCTCTCCTGTCTGGCAGCCTTGGGCCTTCATGATGCCACACTCACCACGATCCCAGTCCAGATCGGGGCACCTGAGGTGTTCATGACGAAATACTGGCCGATGTAGAGGATTCCACCCAGAGCCACACTCAGAACCCCCCAGCACTATCTGTACCACCTGGAAGAGAGAGGACTTGAGAACATGGCTCTCCAGCGGTGGGTCCACCTGTTAGCTTGCAGCTGCGTGCACAGCTTCGACTGATTCCTAATAAGAAGATAAAACCAGCTCAAGGTCTTAGGCCTAGAGGGAGGCCAGAGGAAAGTGCGGCAAGCACCTGGCTGCGTGTCCCTCCCCGGCCCGTGAAGCATGGAGCTGCTCTCACCCAGGAGGCCACCAAAAGCCGGCTGCTGCCCAGATTCCTGGTTGAGGCAGATGCTGGGAGCCGTAGCATGGAGCATCCGGCCAGCAGGAGTTTGGCCAGAGCAGACTCCTGGTGGATGTGCACATCGATGTGGGTGGGTTGTGGGGTCTCAAGGGCCACCTTCCCGGCGTCTGCAGTCTCCATGTCTGTGGACATCATCTGTGAGGGAGAAAATGAACAGCAGGAAGGAATATGTGGCAGATTTTCCGGCTTACTGGAGTTGGGAAGTCCAGTGACACAGAAAGGCTGCCCCTGGCTGTGGAGCTGTAGCCCGATCTCTTTTGGAGGGTTGTCTGTCAGGGAGGCATGCTGCTGTTGGGGCTCCCTCTTCACCCCACATCTGCTTTGTGTCCCCCCTGCCATGGTCTTCAGGGGCCTGATGTTGAGATCAAGCAGTGCCCACGTGCCTTTCCTCTTTACTTCACTCCTGACTGGGCCTCTTCTCTCAGCCTCTTCTCCTCAGAGTTCTCTGAGCCCAGGTCAGAGCCCAAGCCCATTTACAGCGCCGCCCCCCCCCCAGCTGCCCATTAAGCTCCTGTTGTAATATCTCTTCCCTACCAGGGTCCCAGGGGCCACCTCACCCCGGAGCCCTCTGTCTCCTTGGATCAGCACTCAGCACTGACTGACCCTGTCCCCACAGGACTGAGTGGCAGAGACAGAGGCCACACTGTTCCTGGAGGCATATCTCAGTGTGCCCTTCACCCTGGCAAGCTCTATGTGAACAGGGTCGACTGGGAAAGCAGTTCATGCTGAAGTGATTCCCAGAAGCCACAAGGCCCTGGATGGGACAGGGTGGGCTGTCTTACCTGCTCTCTCCTGAGACCAGGGGAGTGTGCAGCAGGGGCGGCTGAGGAACACAGGGAGGAGCTGTGTGGAGAACCTCAGCCCTGGCAGGAGGGAGAAATTGGGTGGGAGCCAGAAGGGGAGGGAGGATGGCCAGACTCTAGCACTTCCTGGCAGGCAGCTGGGACTGAGGGCCCCTTCAGGGGCTTTCCAGAAGTCAGTTCCTCCGTGGGCACTGGGGAGCTGGGCAAGGTGGGTGAGGTAGGCATTGGGTTGGGACTGGTGTGGATCAAGTCTGTGGAATCTTTGAGATTACTCTCTCTTGTGGCCCCATCAGGGCTGGAGTTTTCTAAGTGACCGTGGGTCTGTGCTGCCTTGGGTGCATGTGTGTCCTTGTGTCACCTGCATCCCTGCTGCACAGGCCTGATCATCTACTCCAAACGGAACCCCCCAAGTGGGGCCCCTTCATGTCAGCTACTTGCCGGGAAACTGAGAGACTCTGGTCAGGCCCCATCCCTCCCTCCACCCCTTCTTCCTGTTCTCCTCCCCCTTAGCTACTCCTGTGGGGTCAGTAGCTCCAAGTCAGCTCCTCCCAGACCTCTCTGCTCCAGCCCCACCTCTCTCAGAGGATAGCAGGTGAGGAAGGGCCCCTCACAGCCCCAGGCTAGCCCCTCTTGGAGCACAGAGCCCCTTCTCTGGAGGAGTCTCCAAACCGACTCCCCAAGCTCCACCCTAGCCCAGGCTGCTGCTGCTCCTGCTCCCTCCGTGGTGGCTGCCTTCTTGTAGGACTCTAGGGAGGGAGGGACATGTTGGACAGAGGCTGTGACTCTGGAAACAGGGCTGAGGCTGGGGAGGCCAGGGCCTAGCTTTGCCTTCCGCAATTACCAGAGCCTCACACCTGCATTCTGAGAGTGGGGCCTTTGAGACCAAGCAGCAGTGGGGTGGGCTGTGGAGTGAAGTCCCGGGGCGGTTGGTTTCTCTGTTCCTGGGCACTGGGAGGAGGGATATCAGGGAGCCACTCTCTGGAGGGGCGGCAGCAGTGGGGAGCACGGAGGTTTGTGAGTGGCCAGGGCAGTGGTGGTACTGGGGGTCGGGAGGGGGCCAGCACACAGACAGGACTGAGATTTTCTTCCTCACTCCAGGAACCTCAAGGGAAGGTGAGAACCTGGGGCCTTCATTTGTGCTTCTGCGAAGAAGTCCAAGGTCTCTTCCTCCCTCCTGAAGAGCTGTCAATCTCCATTCTTTCACCTCAGAGGGCCCAGGTGAGTGGACGTGAAAAGTGCTCTAAGGTGTGGGACGAACACAAATGGATGGAACCGGAGGCGAGATTGGTGGCTATCAATATCCATTTGAAACTGATACTTAACCAGATTACCTGGGCAAAATTTCTTTTGGATCCAAGCAACTGATCAGAGGGGCTAAAATGGCCATGACAGTTCTGACCCAGGAACAGGGGAGAGTCAGGGGGTAGGCAGGAGGTGTTAAACTCTAGCTTTAGAGTTTCACTAGCTTTAGTAGTTACTAACTAGGCAGCAATGGTGAGGAGGCCATCGGACATTCAAGTACTAGAATCTGAAGGCCTCATGGGCCCAAGGCCCTATGGGAACTCAGGGCAGTGTTTTGTCAGTGGGAGAAAGGTGATGTATACCACAGTAGAAACTGTTTTTCAGAAATTACTACATGGGCCAGCACCGTGGGTCCTCGCCTCTGTATCTGCCAAACTATGACGTAGATCGGAAGAGCAACACCTCTTCTTCAGTGGTGTTTGCACTTGTTCACGCAGGTGTGTGAGTGTGAGCGCAGGGTGCCAACGACACATTCTCAAATATACAAAGAACTTTCATGAAAAAAAAATCAAGAAGCATGAGAATGAAGAACTTACAAGAGAAGGAATAAATAACGCCCTTAAGAAACAAAAAAACCAGCCAACCACATTCATAATGTAAGAACTGCCACAACAGTTACAGAAACCATGTGGGAAGCCCAGACAAGGGGATTTACTAGGGGAGGGTATTAGGGAATTTTTATTTTTATTTTTTGAGACAGGATCTCATTGTGTATCCTTGGCTGGCCCAGAATTTGCTATATAGACCAGGCTATCCTCCAACTCATAGAAATCCACCTACCTCTACCTCCTGAGTGTTGGGATTAGAGGTGTGTGCCACCACACCTGGAGGGAACTTTTGCAATACATATCTTGATTGTAGCTGTGTTTTCATAAAGATAAATATTTGTCAAACTTCAAGATAAGCAATGAAAATGGAGCAATTTATTGCATTAAATTAAAACATAATAGAGTGTAATTTCTCTTATGCAAAACTGAAGAAAGCAGAAATTGCTAGCGCACTCAGGGAGTGGGGAGAGAAACTCTGTTCTTGGATGACACTGGTATATGGTCATTGCTACAACATCCATGGAGGGTAACTGACAACGGCCACTAAAGCTGCATTAGTCTGGGGTAACTGACAATTCCACTAAAGCTGCATTAGTCTAGGGTAACTGACAACTCCACTAAAGCTGCATTAGTCTGGGGTAACTGACAACCCCACTAAAGCTGCATTAGTCCAGGGTAACTGACAACTCCACTAAAGCTGCATTAGTCCAGGGTAACTGACAACCCCACTAAAGCTGCATTAGTCCAGGGTAACTGACAACCCCACTAAAGCTGCATTAGTCCAGGGTAACTGACGACGGCCACTAAAGCAGGTGCACATATGCGTGTGAGCATGCAAATGGAAGCCCAAAGTTGACATTGCATGTTTTCCTTGATTGATCTCCACTTAGCTGAGGTGGGTTCTTTCTCAGTTAAACGCAGAGCTTAGCTGGCCAGCCTGCCCTGGGAATTCTGTCTCTACCTCCCAAGTGCTGGGGTCGCAGGAAGCCATCACACCTGCTCAGCTTTTACCTGGGTTCTGGGGTCTGAAGGCTGGTCCTCATACAGCAAGTTTGTAATCCACTGAGCCATCTCCTCGGGCCTCTTTTCAACATTTTAACTAGTAAAAGTATTTGTGTGCGTGTGCGTGTGCGTGTGCGTGTGCGTGTGCATGTGTGTGTGTGTGTGTGTGTGTGTGTGAACTCAGATTCCTTTTTGTTCCACTTAGACCCAAGCCAAGCTGTGTTAGTTAGTTAGTTACTGTGAATAAACATCTGAGAAAAACAACTTGAAGGAGGTAGATTTATAAATTTCTTTGCATGGCTTGCTGTTTCAGGTGTTTTGAGCTGAGGCCAGCCCATCACTCTGGGCCCAAGGCAAGGCAGAATATCAGGGCGGTGGGAGTGTGTAGTAGAGGCTGCTTACCTCATAGTGGTCAGGAAGGAGAGAGAGAGGAGGGGAGGGAGGAAGGGAAGGAGGGAGGAGGGGGGAGGGAAGGAGAGGGGAGAAATGAATCTGGGAGGGCCTAGATGCTCTTCAAAGGCACACCCCTGTTGACTTACATCTTCCAACCAGTCTCCACTTCCTGAGTCTCCTGAGTCTCCTCCAATAGCACCTCCAGCCAAGACCAAGCATGCAACAGTCTGTGAGGAGCCCTGCATGTTCAAACAATAACACTCCATCAGTCCTTTGGGAAGGGGCCCAGGACTGTGTGGTGAACGACTCTACAAGTGGGGCCACCATGACATTGCTATCTGCCCCAGGAGAGCTTCTTGACCTTGAGTTGTTAGTCACTCCACTTTGCCTTTCCTGGTTCCCACACTTCATCCATTCCTGTTGTTTTCCTCATCAGGAAAGATGACCCAAACCACGGTGACAGTGAATGGAGCTGAGGTGGCCTCCGCACTCCCCCAGTCCACCCACATCAGCATCCACATCCACCACCAATCAACTTTGGAGCAGCTGCTGAGAGCCATAGGCTCCCCAAAGAAGTTTTTCTCCTGCCTTCAGGACACTGGGCCCTCCAAGGCCAGCATCCACCATGGGCAGCTGGCTCTAGGGGTGAGAGTTGGTGGTTGGTGGGTTAATGAGGTGGCACAGAGGGTGGGGACTCTCCTCTTTATGGGATGCAGAGGAAATCAGGTTGACTCCTCAGGGAAGACAACAGGAGCTCACTCGTCCCCTCACGTTTGGGGAGAGGTTTTGAACATTTCTCTGCAGGGATTTGCATGGAAAGGAGCAACCAACCCCCTCTCTGGTGCAGAGAGGGCTATGTCAGCCAGAGATTGGGTGATGGAAGAGGAATTTCAGGCTGTGAGTTCAGTTGTTGCCTGGAGTTCATGGGGGCTGAAGGCTGCGGGTGCAAGACAAGATTAACCAAATTTTGATTAATTCTAGTTTGAGGTCTATTTTGTTAGATGTTAGGATTGCTATACCAGCTTGCTTCTTCAGTCTGCTTTGTTGAAAATTTTTTCTCCAACATTTTACTCTGAGGTAATGTCTGTCTTTGATGTTGAGGTGTGTTTCTTGCATGGAGCAGAAAGATGGGTCTTGTTTTCATATCCATTCTGTTAGCCTTTGTATTTGTATTGATGAATTGAATCCATCAATATTGAGAGATAGTAATGACTGGTGACTTTCTTTCTAGTACTTTCTGTGGAGCTGGGTTTGTGGATAGATATTGATTAAATTTGACTTTGTCGTGAAATAATCTTGTTTTCTCCATTTATGGTGATTGAAATTTTTGCTGGGTATAGTAATCTGGGTATAGTAATCCATGGTCTCTTAGAGTTTCTAAGAAGTCTGTACAGGCTCTTCTGGTTTTTAGAGTCTCCATTGAAAAGTCAGGTGTAATTCGGATAGGTCTACCTTTATATGTTATTTGGCCTTTTTCCTTTGCAGTGTTTTTCCTTTGCAACATTTAATATTCTTTCTTTATTCTGTATGCTTAGTGTTTTGATTATATGTGGCAAGGGGACTTTTTTTTCCAGTCCAGTCTATTTGGTGTTCTGCTTCTTGTACCTTTATAGGTTGGGAAAGTTTTCTTGAATATATTTTGTTGAATATATCTTCTGGGCCTTTGAGCAGGCATTCTTCCCCTTCTTCTATTCCTATTATTCTTAGGTTTGGTCTTTTCATAGTGTCCTAGATATTGCAGATGTTGTGTGTTAGGAATTTTTTAGATTTAACGTTTCCTTTGACCGATGAATCTATTTTCTCTGTCGCATCTTCAGGGCCTGAGACTCTCTGTTCCATCTCTTGTATTCTGTTGGTAATGCTTACATCTGTAGTTCCTGTTCTCTTACCCAAGTTTTCCATTTCTAGAATTCCCTCTTTCTTTCTTCTTTTTTTCCTTCTATTTCCATTTTCAGGTCTTGAACTGTTTTGTTTCTGTCGGCTGTTTGTTTATTGTTTTCTTTTTCTTTTTTTTTGTGAAATCCTTTAAGATATTTATTGATTTTCTCCAATTTTTTGGCTGTCACCTCTTCCATTTCTTTAAGGGATTTTTTTCATTTCCTCTTTAAGGACCTCTATCATCTTCATAAAGTTAATTTTGAGGTCGTTGTCCTGTGTTTCAGCTGTATTGCTTTGTTCAGATCTTGCTGTCGTAGGATAGCTGGGCTCTGGTGATGCCATATTGCCTTTCTGTTACTGATTGTGCTCTTATACTGGTATTTAGGCATCTGGATTTGGGGTGATTATAGGTCTAGGTGTTGATTCCTTTGTTTGTCTTTGTTGGATCAGTGTTTTGTTCCTTGGTTTCTGTTTCTTATCTGGTCTTTTGGCCTAAGTGGCCAAGGGTTCTGGTGACTGATGAGTCTTCAGGTCCAGTAGGATGTCTCCACTGGGGTTTTAGGGGCCTTGGTTCCCTGGTTCTGGTCTGGCCTATGGTAAAGCTGAAGTCTTCTTGGGTCTCTAGATCCTGCCTGGCCTCCAGTAAAATATCTGGGGTACCCTAGGTACCCCAGAGTCTTCTTCTGGGGTACCTGGGGTACTTGCCTCTGGTAGAGCTTGCTGGGGCTGTTCCTTGAATGGTGTAGATGGTATGTGGGCCTATGGCATCTGTTCTTCCAACTGGGCATATGGAGTCTGCTGGTGTTCTGTTCTGGCTTATGTAGCTTGGGCCTGTTTTGGCTGGTGTAGTCTGTGTCTTAGTGGTGGAAACCCACTTGGATTGGGGGTGGGGGCCCAGCAGCCACAGGGCCAGGGATGAGCTGGGATGGCATTGGCCTGGGGAAAGGGTCTCAGTGGACAGAGTCCAGGGATGTGTGCAGGTCTGTTGTTAGGCAGGTTACTCACCTGTTCTGGCTGGTGTGGCCTGGGTCTGCTTGATGGAAGTCTTCTGGGGTTGGAAGGAGGGCCCAGCTGTGGGACTTAGGACTAGCTGGGAAGGCATGGACTTGCAAACTGGCCAAGGGGGCCAGAATCCAGGTGGGGGTGCAGTTTCACTGGTAGGCATGTGACTCACCCATTCTCCTATTTCTAAAAAGGAGTCTCACTGGTATGCCTTTTTTCCCCCCTGAGGCAGGGTGTCATGTCATCTAGGCTGGCCTCAGATTAGCTATGTAGTCAAGGATAGCCTTGAACTTCTGGATCCCCAGGCTTCACTTTCCAAATGCTGGATTTATAAGCATGGATTACTTCATCCAGTCTTATCTGGCCCTGGGGATTGACTCCAAGGGCTCATGTATTTCTCTGCCTGCTCATCCCCAGCCTCCTCAGCACTATGCCTTGTGTGTACTACAGAACCCTTCACATGGTGTTTGGATATGAGGACTTAGGGTGGGGTGAGATGCTGAGGTTAGGTGCAGGATTTGACAGGATGATACCCCTGAGGAAGAATGAGATGAAAATGGTAAGAATCGGCATAAAGTGATGGTGTTAGGGAAAAGTAATGAAAGACAGACTGAAGGGGATGCAGAAAAACAGCAGACCAGTGTGATGCAATGGATGTTAAAACAGAACCTTCCAGAATCAGAGCTGCTGGGAGGCCAAAGCAGAGGAAAAGGTGAAGCCCACCACCTGGGTTGGAGCTGTGCCGTTATCCTTGGGATGTGAAGAGTTGATTTTTTCCCCTCCTGTCTTGCAGGTGACCCAGATATTGCTGGGGTTTATGAGCTGTGTTCTTGGGGTGTGTATCTACTTTGGGCCCTGGACTGGGCTGTGTGCCTCCGGCTGTGCCTTCTGGTCAGGGTCTGTGGTAAGTGCGAAACTACCAAGGAGCTCGGTGGAGGCAAACAGGAAGCAGTTGTCTCAGGGCTGGAGAAAACCTTCAGAGTCTGGTGTTTTGTTTTTGTTTTTGAAGGGCAGGGCATTGGCGACAAGTGTCTGCTATGTGCTGCTTTTTAGTTGGACCGCTTGTCTTTTGAACCCTGCTTGAGTTGGGCTGTTCTGGGAGCTGTTGGTGGAAGGGTGACGGGAAACCTAGCCAGTAGGGTAAACTAGAGGCCTTTTTTTTTTCTTCTGGTGTCTTCTCTTTCCAGGCAATTGTAGCCGGAGCTGGCACCATTGTCCATGAGAAGCGACGGGGGAAACTGTCCATGAGTCTCGGGCTTTCTCTTTATCAACCCTGTCCATCTACCCTCTCCAAAATGGCTAGCATTTCAGCACTTTGCTACCTTTTGTCCTTTAGTTACTGATAAAATGAGCCTTTCCTGGAGGGTTGGGAGGGACTTCCTGCCATAGCAGCAGGGGAAGATGGGCAGGTTTGAGGCTGCGGTTCATGACTCTGCCACTGACAGCAGAATCTGCATCTGGACCTCTCTCTTTCAGGGCCACATATCCTGTCTGCTCATCCTGGCTTGCATTGCTACAGCTGTGGCTGCTACCATTCTGGGTGTGAACAGCTTAATCTGGCAGACAAGTGCTTCCTACTATTTCAAGATCAGTTCCACGTGTGACCCCTTACAATCTAGCATGGGCAGTGGGTATGGGATAATGCGATACACCAGCGACTCAGACTGGAAGATAGAGAGGTGCAAATCCTCCCTGAACATGGTGATGGTGAGAAGGGAAATGTGGTTTGCCTGGGACACATCACAACCCTTGCTCTCAGGGATTGGAGCCCTGGAGGGCGAGGATGAAGGCTCTGTGAACTTGGCCCTCACCCTAGCCCTTTGGGTAGGAAGCTGTCATTCAAGCTGAAGGCATTTTCAGACCTTCATACATGAAGATTCCCTGAATCAGAGGCGGTGGGGGAACAGACAGCAGGTCACCCTCTGACTTTTCCAGCGAATGGCCATTCTGGTTATCTGCTTACCGATGCATACATAAGAAGTCACCCCCAAATGCGGTGGCTTTAGACACCATTTTCTTCATAGTTCTCACAGTTCTCTGGGGTTGGCTGGGTTCAGACAGACCATTCACACTAGGGGTTTTCCTGTGCAGCTGCAGGCAGAGACAGTGGGTGTGGTCATCCAAGGCCTCACTGGGGCTGGACATTCCCACTGAGGCACGAATGTGGCAGGCACAGGATGTGGCTCTTGCCTGGGAGCTCAGCTGGGCTGTCAGCCTGAGAACCTCTAGCAGCTTCTTTATGTGCCTCTGGCTTCTCAGTTTAGCAATCAGGTCCCAGGCGGGGAGTTTTGGTAAGGTGTCAAGAAGCAGGAATAAACTACAGGGCCAATGAAGGGCTGCCCATCATTGACATGCTGTCATTTTCACAAGTCAAGCAAGTGGGCTAGAAGTGGTGGTCACCCCATCACTAGAAGACACTGCCTGCCTTGGTGGGAAGTATCTACTCAACAGGGTCTGGACGGAGCGTGGCTTTGGTAAGGTGGCGATGTGATTCAGACGAGCTGACTCTTGACTGAGTCTGTTCCTCTTCTGCCTCTAGAACTTGTTCCTAGCATTCTGCATCATGTTCACAATTGTCTGTATCCTGAAGATTGTTGTGTCTTTGGCTTCCCTGGTACTGAGTCTCCGAAGTATGTGTGGCCAGAGCTCCCAGGCCCTGGTGAGTACTCAGGACAACAGGCGCCTGAGCATTAAAAACGGGGATGAGCATCTGGCCTCGGAAGTCCCTGGTCCTCACTCATCCTTCACTCTCTGGGGACTGTGACCCCATCTCACGGCCTGTCTGACTTCTGCTACCTCGTGCCTCTTCATGCCTTCCTTCACCCTCATTTCCCACTCCGTCCAGGTTCATGTCCCACTCCCCAGGACCTTGCTGCATATGCTCTTCCTGCTGTCACTTCCTGTCCCTCCTTTCCTCTGCCGGTTTCAAGTGCTGAAGCTAACCTCGTCCTTATGCTTTCCTCCATCCATCGATGATGCTAACCTCGTCCTCATGCTTTCCTCCATCCATCGATGATGCTAGCCTCATCCTCATGCTTTCCTCCATCCATCGATGATGCTAGCCTCATCCTCATGCTTTTCTCCATCCATCGACGGTGCTAGCCTCATCCTCATGCTTTTCTCCATCCATCAGTGACACTAACCTCATCCTCATGCTTTCCTCCATCCATCACTGACACTAACCTCATCCTCATGCTTTCCTCCATCCATCACTGACACTAACCTCATCCTCATGCTTTCCTCCATCCATCAGTCAAGCTAAACTTCATGCTTCATCTTCATGCTTTTCTTCCATTCATTCATTTCTTCCTTCTATTTTATTTTCAGGATGAGGAAGAGACAGAGAAGAAGCTTCTTGGGGGGGATTCAACACCTCCCTCCCCAACCAAGGAAATTCCTGTTATCCTGTGAGCAGCTGCAAAGCTCCTGCTTGAGCCCACATTCCTGAACAGAGGAATCCAGGGAGACCAGCAACTGTTCCCAGGGCCTCTGCTGGGTCCACAGCACACACCTCCTTCTGTTGTAGCCACTACCCAGCCCTCTTTCTCCCTCTCTCCCCACTGTCCTCCCTCCAATGTCCCAATGCTAATTAAACAGAAACAGTCAGAGAAAACACCTTCTCACGGAGAGGTGTGGCTCTTCATTGACACAGATGGTGTGCTGGGAAAGGCTGTCCCTTGAGTTGGTGTGTATGGAGACAGAGTGACGGTGGAGGTGGTTACAGTTGCATGTCTCCGCTGTCACACTCTTCCTCAAGATTTGCCTCCATCCTACTACGTAAAGTGAACATAACTCAAGTGCTTAGAATCTTCCTGGCATTGCTTTGTCTTCTTTCCTGATGCTGTGATAAGTACTCTAGCAAAAGCAATTTACAGGAGAAAGGTTTTATCTTATTATGCTGTCCAACATGGCAGGGGGCGGGGGGGGGGGGGGGCGTGTCAAAGCGGCAGGAACCTGAAGCAGCTGGTCACGTCACAGCCACAATCAGAAGCAGAGAATGATAAATGTATACATACTGGGGCTTGGCTCACTTTCTCCAGTCTTAGTTCGAGATTCCCTACCTAGGGAATGGTGACTCCCATAGTGGGTGGGTCTTTCCCTCTCAATTAAATAACCAAGGTAATCCCCCACATCTATGCTCAGAAGCCAATCTTTCAGGTGATTCTAGTCAAGTTGATTCTCCCAGAACCCAGCCCATTGTGTGTTCAGGAGGCACTTGTCATAGGCAGGCCTGTGGGTTCGGGTCTCAGGGAATTAAGGACATTTTAATTTGTTTAGAAGGTAAGACATCAAGCCTACACCACAAAGAGCATGTACCAAGCAGGAAAGTGGTGTGAAGTGTTTGCTGAGCATCTGTCAGAGGTGAGGACAAAGAGGGAAGTTATAGAGATGACACTCAGGGGAGAGGATCTGAGATTGCTATTGGTGCTTAACTGACTGGGGCAGTGAAGAGCATTCCCCTGCCTCAGTGTGCACTGGGACATTGGTAGTACCCAGTTACTAGTCTCAAGAAATGATGGCTTAGTTGGGCAAAGGTGCTTCTTTGTTGTCACTCATATAGATGCCCAGGATTCCACCCGCCAAGATCCCAGCCCACAGTATAGCAGGGGCAGTCCTTGGGGCCTGTCAAACACTGGAGGCTAAGAGAGGGTACCATGTCGTCAGCTTCTGGGGTAGAGTGGAGGCCATAGGATTGTGGGTTTTGATTACTATGTTCCCCTCAAAATCTGTATTGAATGTGTAATCTCCAGTGGCTCAGAAAGTGACCGTGTTTGGAAACAGTCTTTTTGTATAAGTCAGATGAAATGGGGTCATCAGGGTGGGTCCAAATCCATCATGACTAGTGTCCTAATAGGAAGAGAGCATTGTGAAGATACAGAGGGAAAGGCGGCCATTTGTGAGCCAAGAAACCTCAAGAGAAAGCTGTCAGCACCTTAATCTCAGGCAAATTTCCATCAAGGGCTGAGCTACGTGTCAAAAAGAGGAAGTGGAGTGCTTGGAGAAAAGGAACTGATAATGTCTCAGTCAGCAAGCCTATCTGTCCTGTGGCACTCACTATTCCTGAGAAGACAAATATACATCTACCCACCACGGATAGGGAAGTAACAACAGACCAAAATAAGGACAGCAGCCAGTTCAACTTGATGAACCAATGAGTTTACTGAGGTTACTTACAGGAGTAGGGGTGAGGGGATGCCTACAGGAGCACAGATGACTCAAAGGCAATATCATCATCTAAAACCCACCCAAGTATGAGTGCCAACTTGTAAGACCCAGGATTCTGGAGTTCTCTACCTAACTTACAAGCAGGTTGATGGGTTGGAGAATCTTCTCTAGGCAGTTTGGCTGGTCTAAGCCTCCTTAGCAATCTCCCCTGCTTTTATAATCTTAGGGAGAGTGGGGCCCTGTAAGTTTCTGGAACTCCTTGAGAATTTTGAGTTGTTTATGTCTCTATTATTAGCAAGTCTCTCTTTAGGACTTTTTGGGTCTTAATGTGCTACTGTCCAGAATGGAATGTTCCAATTCAGAGGAATTTGCTCTGTGACTGTGGTGACATTGTCACCCTGAAGGGTTTCCCATCCTTCTGAGCATTCTCCTCCAGAGCAGGGCCTTGCCTCCTCCACCTGAGACACTGCCATTTCTGTTTCCACTTACAGTAGGTGACTCTGGTGCACCTCAGGACTGCTCTGTAGGAGTGCTCCAATCTCCAGGTTGGCATATGTGCTACCTGGGGATGTCTCTGGACACGAGAAAGCAGAGGAGGGAGAAACTCCAGCCAGGGAGGGTAAAGACTTAGTAGAAACCATACCTTGCTCTTTGAAATCATGAAGGCATTAGGGGAAGGAGATATGGTGCACTGTGAGGTTACATCCCAGGCTGCCATGATGCTAGCATATGTTAAAGATATGAAGAAATCTGGAGGTTCATAGAAAGGAAGGTAAGGCAAATTACCCTTCAAAGGAGCTTGATTAAGGGAGTCATAGGATTCTAGCCATAGACAGTCATGCTGAGGCCTTCAAGTGGGAGGACATTAGGAGAGATAGCTGCATGATGTATGCATATACGGCATGATGGGATCCTGAAGAAAATGACCTCTAATTCCCTTTAGTTCCAGGTATTAGGAGGCTTACAGCACCATCCCATAATGCATGAAGGAACCTGGAAGGAAGAGACAAACCTTTCAGTTCCGTAGGACAAAGCGAGTTTCTTGCACTTACAGGTTTTCAGGGGAGGGTAGTTAGTTCCATGCTATGTAACCTAGCCTCTATGCCGGGAGTCATAAGGTAGGAAGGCTGTACATGCAATTGTCCTAGGTCTGGGCATCAAGGGTAGCTGGGATTGCTCTCAGTGGTACTGGGGAGGGAGAAGACTCAACTCTTTGGAAGAATGCCAAGGTCATGGCAGCTCTCTGTAGCTGGCGGGGTGGGGGTTTGATTGCTGGTGGTATGGTTTGATTTTTTGGCTAGAGGATGTCAGTATGTAGATATCATACAGATGGCCTCGTGGAAGGAATTCAGCTATGGAACAGGGCCACTTGAATTATGTATCTTGTTTGACTCTTTTTTATTGTTTTTTGAATTACTTCTCTGTGTGTACATGCATGTATGAGTGCAGATGACCGCAGAAGTCAGAAAAGGACATCAAGATCATGATGGGGAAACCTACAGAGACAACCAAACCAAGCCAGTGGAACCTCCATGGGACTAGACTAGGCCTTCTACATAAGCAAGACAGTTGTGCAGCTTGATCTGCTTAAGGGGTTGGGGAGGTGGCCTGTGGAGGGAAAGCTGGAGGGGGTGGGAGGAGGGAAGAGAGGGGGATCTGTGATTGGTATGTAAAATGAATAAAAATTTTATTAATTAAAAGAAGAAGGAGAAGGAGAAGGAGAAGGAGAAGGAGAAGGAGAAGGAGAAGGAGAAGGAGAAGGAGAAGAAGAAGGCATCAGGTTCCCTGAGGCTGGAGCTACCAGTAATCCTGAGCTGCCACACGAGTGTTGGGAACGAAACTCTGAAGATGCAGTGAGCACTCTTAACCACGGAGCCATTGCTCCAGCCTGTTTTACTCCTTTTGGTTGGCAGGGGATTTTAGAAGAGAGTTCCAGGCTGAAGACACACAGGCAAAGCTGGGTCAAAGGAAGCACTCTTCCCTTCCCTCGCTCCAGTGGCATTAACTGTTGTCTCAGTATTTTGACCCCAGTCTTATGCAGCCAGATCAGATAAAGCCCCTTTGCTTTTCCATTCTGGAAAGCAAATGTCAGCATGTTTGGTTTTCGTTTCAGTTGCTTTTGCACAAAGTGGTCTGTGTCAGACTTCGGAGGGGGGCTGGCTTCCTTCCTCTGGCCCCTCCTCCCCCATGTTCTCTGTGCTGTCTTACTGTAGGCCTCCACCCCTGCCCCATGAGGAGCCTGGGAGCTTCTTTGGATTTGTTTTCCTTTTCTGCAGACTATCAGATGTCACCATCCCCTCTCCTACTTTTTGTTTACTTGGAAAAGGCAACAAGCCATCTCTCTTCACATAGCTCTGCCTTGTTGGTAAAACTGTGTATACAGATGGGATTGACGTCAGGTTCCTGACGGAGCCCTGAAAGTTATCTGCAGCCTGTTTGAATATAATGTCTCTAAAGGAATATTTAAATCCATGGGGCATAAACAACGAAGCGTTCCTCCTTCTCTTCCTTGCCCCCCACCCCAGCACTGTTTTTCCTTCTGCGTTATTGGCTCTTGGATTCTCTAACATCAGGATCATAGTCCAGCTTGTACAGATTGGCTGTAAAAGGGCTGGTTGGTGGTTTTGTTAACTTGACACAAACCAGGGTCATTTGGGAAGAGGGACCCTCGATTGAGAAAATGCTTCCATCAGAAGCCTGGCAAATCTGTGGGGCATATTCTTGATTAATGATTGATGTGGAAGGGCCCCGCCTAATGTTGGCTGTGCCATCCATGGGCAGGTGGTCCTGGGTTATATAAGAAAACAGGCTGAGCAAGCTGTGGGGAGCAAGCCGGTAAGCAGCATTCTTCCGTGGCCTCTGCTTCATTTCCTGCTTCTCGGTCTCTTCCATGAGTTCCTGCCCTGATTTCCCTTCATGATAGATTGTTGGCTGTAAGAGAAAATAAACCCTTTCCTCTCCAAGTTCTTTTCAGTCACAGTGTTTACCACAGCAATAGACAGCAAACTAAAGCAAAGAGAGTCACTTGGTGTCTAGACCAAGTTCTGGTCTTTCACAAACAAAACAGAGTGCATACCTCAGGCTTGGGGCCCTGTGTCCCCACCCCTCCAGGTCACTTGGACTAGGAGAGCTGGGGTGGGGAGGAGGCTCCTTCTCTCCAGCCTCTGCAGGGGTCTTTCTCCTGCACTGTTAGGATAGGGAAGGAAGGTGAAGGGCAGGGCGTTGGTTTGATGCTGTAGAATGACCATGAGGAGGAAGGACAGGATTTATTGGATTTATCAACCTAAATCCAGCTGATGTTTTTGGCTCTTGTTTACAAGCAGTGGGTTATATATTATACGTGGGTTCATATACTCTTACTGCATAGTCTGGGAAGTACTGGGGAATTTCTCTGCCCTCCACTGCATTAGCTGTCTGGGTTTTTCTAACTGCCCGGAAAGGTACATTTA